TGTGTTGTTGTGTCCCGGTCAAAGGCCAAGACCCATGGCGAGAAGAGCTTGGCAGCAACGGCAACGGAAGCTGAGAAGGAGCCGTCGGCGAAGCTTGGTGCACACGATGCGGTCGATGTTGCGATGATGGCCCAGATCGAGTCCATGTCAGGCGCACGTGAAACCTGCGCAGCAGATGCTGAAGAAGTTTTGCTTGTTGATGAAGTCGATGTGCTCTTCGGCAATGATTTCTACGGCAGGACACACAACCAGGTTGCACTTCTTGTGTCGATCGCAGCAGAAGACCTGCTACGTGAGGTCTGGAAGTACCGCGAGCATGTTGCGCAGTTGAAGGCAGTCATCCAGTCTGTAAAGAGCTCACGTGCTTTTGAACTACTCTTACAAGAACTACCAGCTTTCGCAGACATCGTGCACGACGAGACGGAGAGAATGTGCGCAGACTTGGCAGATCATATGCAGAACGACAGGGACTATATTTTCTGCAATGGCAAGGTTTGCTACAAGGTGATGGACGGGATCGCTTCCGATGTCGTGAAGGGCTACAAAACAGCTTTCGCCTATCTGCAGGAGGCCACCAAGCATTCATTGCACAACGAAGACGAGGTCCTTCGGAATGCCCTTTCTTTGCGTATTCCATGCGGTCGATTTTCGTATGCAGCCTTGGGATCTGCAAAGATCCTGGGTGTATCTGGGACAGTGCATGGATTGACGCAGTACCAATGGCAGGTGATGCAGGGCTTTGGCGTCAGCAGCTACACACTGGTTCCGTCGGTGTACGGCCGCAACAACTTTGCTTTCCTAAATCAGGACCACGGCACCCCCATCACAGTCACCACAGATTTATTTCATGATGTTGCGACGCAGGCGCGAGTCAGTCCTTTGTTCCGTTTTGCAACCATGCTAATCAGCGGCAAACCTACCTGCTTCTGCTTGCCTTGACTGTGGTGCTTGGTTGTTCTACTCAGTCGCCGGGTAGGAGGCAGCTTCATTGAGTTCATCCGTTAATTAACGTAGAGCATATGTACAGAGCCTTCTGCCCCTGTGCAGGTAAACAGGATAATACAGCAAGGCCGTGCAGTCATCGTCTTCTTCAGAGATGCGCATCAGGTGGAGGACTTTCAACAATCCCCGTACTATGGCAAGATCCAGAATAAGACGCTTGGGCGAAAGTGGTGACCTCTGCCAACTAACAGCTTGCCTGCGTACTAGATTCTGGTTACGAAATGTGCCGTACTCCCGATACTTCCCGATGAATACGACAAGACACAGTTTCATTGAGGAACGTGTTGCTCCCAAGCCTGCTGGACAAGGACAAGGATTGGATTATCCGGAAGGCGGCAACGGCCGGGCAAGTTACGTTTGCCGCTGCCCTGGCTATCC